CACATCTGCATAACTAACTGGCTTGGTCGGGACCTCACACCCAGCAGCCCCAGACCACCCGGAAGGCGACTGGAGCTTTGGGTACTATTCTGTCTCAGCCCCAGCACAGCTCCCTGGCTCCAAGGTTGGACGCAGGGGTGGATTTCACTTCCCTAAACCCTTTGCACTCCATCAATCTAGAGGAGAGTAACTGGGCTGTACATAGGTGGAATGAATTTCACTTTTAGGACCCAACGCTGTTCCCATTAATGCCAATGGAAGTTTTGGACTGACTTCAATAGGACCAGGATCGGGCCCTTAACTGCTCAGTGTTTCCCATTTGGATAATGGGGAGGATACTTACCTCACAGAGGGCCTGTTGGGCTTAATTCATTAACATTTGGAACATACATAGAGATTCTTGGATGGAAGGAGTCTCAGAATGGAGAACTGCAAGCCTAAATCTGCACCTCTTTACTCAGGTGAGCAGTTCCATTGATCTCCACGGGACTACTCATGTGACTATGCATGTGAATGAGTCAAGATTTGAAGGGTCAGGTCCTACCGTGTGTATTACTAACAGCACAATGGCTTTACACAGACCTAGCCGGCAGCATTACAGCGCATCACTGGCACTTTCAAATAATGAATAGTGCAATACAAATCTAAAGTGGCTACCAGGCAGTTAACTTGGTGTATTGATCATAGTTACTTGGTAATTCATAGCCTAAGCCTTTATAATGTCCATGGCTCAGTGTTTGGTGTGACAGATACTGCAGCCACAAGTACTGGAAATCTGAAGTAGGTGCTTGAGAGAGCACAGAGGGGGAATACAGCGGCAGCTACCCTGAACCTGTGACAGCTGGATTTACATATTGCATATGAAGTATACACAGTACCTGGGCATAACAGTTGAAAGCTGGCTTCTTAGGTATTCTCGCTCTCAAAGCAGAGTTAAATTCTTAAGCCATAATGAACAAATCCTTACTGTATCCAATTTCCCCCCACAATATTAGAAACACACTATGCTGGGTTAAGATCACATTTACCTTAAATATCCATCCAAAATTATTTACAAAACGAAATATTACAAAATTACGGGTAAGTGCTTTTGACATATTGACACCACAGTGTGATGTAGGCTGCGGACCTTGGATCCAATGGTAATAAGCTTTTTAAGCTAGGTCTGTACTCGCACTTTCGTTGGTATAATTTACGTCGCTCAAGAGTGTGAGAAAACATCTCCCTGAGCAACATAAGATACACAGACAGAAGCGCAGTGTGGACAGCGTTGTCAGTGGGAGACGCTCTCCCGCCAACACAGCTACTGCCGCTGGGTGTGGTTTAATTATATTGACGGGAGAGCTCTCTCTCCCATGGCCACAGAGAGCTATGCGGGAGATTTTACAGTGGCACAGCTGTACCACTGTAAGCTGTCTAGTGTAGACACAGCCTTAGAGATATCTGAGGTGGATCAATAGGCATAAACTGGCCATAGTGTGGCCAAGCCTCAGGCCAAGCCCAGTCCAACTTGCTGGGCGTAGTGGGGACATGCTGCATAGGAATCCTTCCCTACAGGGTGTGCAGAGAAGCAAGAGAACCGCTCCATGGGTTACTATTGCAGCTCTGAGGGTGAAATAGTTGCTGCAGCTCTCTGCAGGGATGGAGGAGATCTATGCATGCAGTGGATCCACTAGACAGTCCAGGTCATTGATGCATCATTAGGGCCCTACCAAATTAACAGCCATGAAAAATGCCTGACTTACTGTGAAATCTGGTCTCCCCCCGTGAAATCTGGTCTTTTGTATGCTTTTACCCTACACTATAGATTTCACAGGGGAGACCAGCGTTTCTCAAATTGGGGGTCCTGACCCAAAAGGGAGTTGCGGGTGGGGGTGTTGCAAGGTTACTTGGGGGGGGGGGTCACGGTCTTGCCACCTTTATTTCTGCGCTGCCTTCAGAGCTGGGCAACCAAAGAGCAATGACTGATGGCCGGGCACCCAGCTCTGAAGGCAGTGCCCCACCAGCAGCAGCGCAGAAGTAAGGATGGCAATACCATATCATGCCACTCTTACTTCTGCGCTGCTGCCTTCAGAGCTGAGTGGCCAGAGTGGCGGCTGCTGACTGAGGGCCCAGCTCTGCAGAAGTAAGAGTGGCAATACCATACCATGCCATCCTTACTTGTGCGTTGCTGCTGGCAGCGGTTCTGCCTTCAGAGCTGGGATCCCAGCTAGCAGCCACGGCTCTCCAGCTGCCCAGCTCTGACAGCAGCACAGAAATAAGGGTAGCATAACCTTGAGAGCCCCCCATGCCCCCAACTCCTTTTTGGGTCAGGAACCCTACAATTATAACTCTGAAATTTCAGATTTAAATAGCTGAAATCATGACATTTACTATTTTAAAAATCCTATGACTGTGAAATTGACCAAAATGGACCATGAACTTGGTAGGGCCCCTATGCATCATGCACAGCAGCATACCCTGTATGTTCCCCAAATCCTTCCTCGGCTTTACAACTGAGCTGCACCAGTTCCACCATAGACTGGATTCCGCCATAGGTTTGGAGGGAGGATTTACCCCCAACGATGGTGCCATGCAGACAGGATTCCCTCCAGCAAAAGCAGGTACAAGACTAGTTTTCCCCTTCCATACACAGAGCTCTAAGTCTCACGCCTGACCTGCAATATTTCTGCTCCTCCACACTTGCACTGAGCAGATTGCAACTTGGGCAAACGTCCATTGGGAACTCTGCCAAGACCAAACTCATTTTAGTTATAACCCACGACAGATTTTCATTACATCTCAACTTAACAGTTAAAGATGTTCTGCTTGTCAGCTCATGGGACTGTCACCCCACGTACGAAGCAGAAAGAATGTCAAATCTTCAGTGTTCTCCAGACTCAAACTTCACCACCTTAGTGCACCCCCACTAGCTAGTCTGAGATTAACAACTCATTGCCAGTACCTGTGAATGAAAACAGGGAACGCTACAGCTAGGAACCTAGGTGCAACCCCAATGAGACTTTTCATTTATCGAGTAAAGCGTTCACCCATTTTTATTCCTTAGCAAGGCAGATAATTTAAAAAACAAAACAAAAAACTTATTCATAGCAGAAGCCAAAGATTATTCAGATCAATTTCTTCCCCCGATTTAGACCAATTAGTTAATGAGTCAATCCTCATTTAATAACATGGTCTGAAGATGCATTTCCATAAATGCATTGGAGTCTCCGATGCAGGAAGAGTATTTTTCTAATAAATAAAAATGGCCACTAATTGATGCACACTAATTACATGAGTATGAAGAGCTGTATTACAGTAAACAACTTCTATTGTTCCGGCCTGTTCAGCAAAGTCCAGAGTGGCTGATACATGGGCATCAGAGCAGAACAATTTGCTGAATTACTCACTTCAGGCAATGGCCAGTTCAACTGCATGTTTTCAAGTGTGTTTGGCTTAGCCTTCCATACTAACAGAGTATCACTATGTTAAAGAAAGGGACACTGGCAGGTTAAAAATCATACACAATAATCATATTTCAAACATATGGATAACAGACTACATTGATATTTTCGTTGTCAGAGATGTGAGTTGCAAAACTTAAATAGCATAAATTGTGCAGTCAGTTAGATTTTTTTGAATTATTTCACTAATAATATTTTTCTTGTATTTAACCCATTTTAAAGGGTTCTCAGGCACCAACTTTGTACTGCAGTGTTTTCAATGCAATTACTGCAGAGGAACATTTAATGGTTTAAACAAAAAAAAATCATGCCAACATTTGTATTTGTCTTGGTAAAGAGATGAGTTTACAGATCTTAACATTTTGGACCAAATTTGACCTGTCTTCTTAATGTATTCTTCCAAGCCAATTCCCCCATTTTCAAGTCCTTTGGCTTCCAAATTCCTTGCAATCTCCTGAAGCACATTCTGAAGATAATACCCAATGTTTATTGTCTACATATTTCTTCAAATCAAGGTCGACATTTTCCATGTATTTTACTATGCACTGCTTTCAGCTAAAAGATTTCCCCAATAATTGTCTGCCTATGCAAAGTGAACTGAAGCATCAAAACAGTTTAAATTTCTCCTGTCATTTCACATACAGCTAGAGACAAGAACTGCCTCCCTGCTTCTAATCTGGACCTTCCCCCTTCACTTACAGAGCAGTAAGAGGAAAAATTAGTTAAATATTCATACAATTTAACATTCTCCATGTTTTGAAAGCAGATCCGGGAAAGATTTGCCATCCATGCAGACAAAGGAAGTCAGCTGGAACACTTGTTAGTATAGTAGAGCTGACCTTGAGAAATAAAAGGCATGCAGCTACCTCTGCACAATACCAGTCATTGGTATCCAGCACTTAAGACAACCAGAAACATTAAGCTAGGGTTTAATAAAAATACTCTGCAGACAGAAGTATATCATAATGGGCTTCTCACAGCTGAGAGGCTTTTTGTGACCAAGAGAGACTGGAGATCCCCAGGACAAAATGTTGCTTTTAGAGGAAATTACTGTATATGGGAGTGTGCGAGCAATAGTAAGCGAGGCATAAGAAACTGGATTCTATTCAGGCATCCAGCACATGGTTCTGCCCATGTCTCCATCTGAAAGTTACTTGTTTCTTAATGGTGAACTGCAAAGGTAAAATGAAAAGTGAAAGTTAAAGACTAGAAGTGTACTGAATGGCCGCCACTAACCAGGATGCTCAGATACCATTCTGATGAACATAGGATACATGCCTGGAGACAGATGAGATTGGCAGGCTGGGGATAGGGTTGCCAATCCTCCAGGATTGTCCTGGACTCTCCAGGAATTATAAGATTATGTCATGTGATGAAATCTCCAGGAATTCATCCAACCAAAGTTGGCAACCCTAGCTTGGGAAAGGAAAACGAGTGACTCAAGTAACTGAAAATAAATAAGTAAATATTAAAACATTTTTATGCCTCTCTAGTCTGCTACTCAGTTTAATTTTTCTGTTCCATATATAGATAGGAGTCTAAACACGGAAACGAATGGTCAGAGAAAAATAAGATTTTATTTCCAAACACGTAAGTGTCACCCCGCCCCTTTAAAAATAAAAAAAACAATCTCTCTTTACATGCATAAATGTACAGAGGTCAACAGAGAAATGCAGTAGCCAGCTTCAGCCAGCATTCCTTAATCTTTATACCCATAAATACTCCACCCCCAAACAAAACAAACACATCCACTCAGTTATAAAGCAAGCCCTTCCAATCTGATGTAGGACTGCAAATATCTCAGCAGCATTAACACATGCACACACACACTAAACGGTCACGCAAGGTGGTAAATCCCACAGAGCCTACTTCTCAAGGAACCTTTATCAAGCAAGGTTGGGCAAATCTACTAGACGGGGGCCCAGTGAGCAAGTTTAATCAGCCTGTACAGACGGACAGAAAGACTGTTTAGCGAGACAGTTATTGTAACAGCAAATTATGCTTTGTTACAAGCCAGTTGTCTCTGTACCCATCCAGAATCTCCATACAAAGTTGGTATGCTTTTAAAGCTCAGAATAAATTTCAGAATTGCCAACATTTGTGTAACTGGAAGAGAATTACACAGCAATCCAAATTACTGTATAATAAACAGTTACTGATAAGGAATCATGGGCTGAATTCACTTCTGATATAAATAGATGCAACTTCATTTGGGCCTATATGTTTATTTCATCCTGTCCAGTTAGTACTTTTTGCTAGCTGAGCTGAAGTTTAAAAGGAAGAAACCAAACCAAGTTTTCAGCAAGACAACCATGAAAATGTTTTCCCTTATCTCAGTCTGGTAACATTGTCATGAAACTTTAGTAATCCAGGCACAAAAATCTTTTCACCCACCCTTTACACCAGTGATTGAAGATATTAGGAGAAAGAAAAAAAAACTAATTGTATTTCATATGCCCATTGTAAAGAAAAAAAAGGTTACTTTCCATACACAAGTAGAAAATTTGCAAAGCTGTCGTGTCCAGAAAACAAGTGCCTCCCACAATCTGTCAGCCTACATGAATAGCCACACTGACATATTTTAGTGGCATCCAAATACAAATAGCAAGAGAAACAAACATTATGCTAAGTTTATTTTTCCAAAATAATGTGCTGAAAATAATTCAAGTTCAAGGACTAAAATCTCAAAAGAAATGTTACACAATAAGGTAAAAAGACTTCCACCCCATAGGATAGAGTGTTATGGTCACATTGTGCATCCCAATGAATCAATATTTAAGAATATTCCACACCCTAGCTCAAGATCTCAGTTTAACAACCAGAACATAAGACTTTTCTGTTTCTTCTGCATAAGCTGTTCAGATAGCTCATACCAAAGTCCTTTTCCTTTAAGTCCCAAATTGCTTTTCTAATGTCCAGTAATTCTACCACAGTCTACTTATTCTACTAGTAATTTGACTGATCTAACTTAAATTAAGTTGAATAGACAGCAATTAATATAATTTTAGCAGAGGACAAGATTTCATACAGTAAATCTCATTATGCCTTATAGAAATCAAATTGGAAAACCAGCATGCTTTTTATATAACTTCATTTGAATATGCACAGGTATATGCATGCGTGTATACACACACACAAAGTTAAATATAATAATTTACAATACAAATAAAAAGTGGCAAGTCTCCAAACCTTAATGCACGTAACTAAACAGAGTCCTTTCACTGGGTAGATACTTGATTTAAATTTCACCTACTCTTATTCTAAAGCAGTGTACGTTTTTGAAATCAATAGTCAAATAGGCTCTTAGGCAGGAGCCAAATCAAGTACAAAATCTTTACAAATTAAACCAGAGACAGTTAGCCCTGTCCTTTCATCTAACAATTTTTGTGGCTTTACAACCACATTTCTTTAAAAAAAAAAAAGCGCCCATCTCCCACCATTGCTATGTGAAAGGCCCATACAGATGGGGTATACTGACTGATGGTGGAAGGAAAACTGAAACTGACAGAGTGCTGTCAAAAAGGTACAAAGCAGACAATTGGAAGAAAAAAGAAAAAGAAAAAAAGAGAAAAAAGTTTTTTCTATTTGTCCTAAAGGTATAGTCATCTCTGGGATTTACTTGTAGCAACAGTAGGTTAAAAAAAAAAAAAAAAACCACACCACACACAGACAGAAGTCAGATTTCTAAAGTTACAGATGTCCTGTTAAGCCCAGAAAGAACTGATGTCTAGATTTGAGTTGACCAACTATATGGGGGACCTTTTGACGTTTTAGTACTCCAAAATATAGATTGTGACAATGTAAACATACATCTACAATACTTCCAGATACATGGGTATGTGCTCCTGCTTCAGAAGAGGTGCTTTCCCAGATGGGTTGGCTAGAGCAGGATACAAACAGGTTAAGGTAACCCTCTAATCCCACAATTACAAAGGGGACAGGGAGAGGGAACACTGCTTTTTGATGGACGGCAATACTTCTATTTTGTTCATTCTCCCAAATACAGGGAAACAGAAGGATCATTTGTGAAGACTGAATTTATGGTACTGTTCCTGAAGTTATCATCATGCTGTCCTCTCAGATCCACTATACCCTCATATATCCTTTCCCCCTTTTCTTTTTCTCATTACAGGTCTCTGTTCCTTTCCCCGTCATTTTCTTTTGTTCCTCAATGTTGCCTCCTTTTTGGCCCCTCAGGTCCTCTTAAAAAATTTCCTAAGTTTTCAGAATCACTTACTGGAGAGGCTTTTGCTGCCTCTAGTCTCTTGATCCCGAGGATCTGCTGAACTGTTTTGCTTGCCTGTGATTGACAGGAGGCAAGGCTCTCTTCATCTCCGCAGAGCAACTACAGGAAGTTAATTTAAATTAAGTTAAAATGAACAATGTGACCAATTTGAGAAGTTTGGGGGAAGCCAAACAGATCCTCTTCTGCATACTTTCAGAAAACAAAGTCTGTATAGAATGTTATAAAATGAGTTAGACTTCAGCTACCAACTCACAAACCTTTCAAACACAGTAAACAAAAAGCAAAACAAAATGTTAATTACACTCCACCCCTTCCAAAGTGACAAGAAAGACTATTAAGTGCACAGCACCATCAGACAAAACAGTTTTTCAACAGTGCTTTTAATTCCCATTGGTAATCAAATATCCTTCAAGCTCCTACCTTATGTAATTAGAAGTACTTCCACAGGTGACTGGTAATTAATCAGGAGGCTGTCTTTTCTTTTACTAACCCCTTTCTCTCACATGCACTCATTTATGCTATTTTTATACCAACATTAAATCCATAAGTTTCCCCTTTAAATACCATTTCTCTCTATCTGGGCAGGTCTCCTATGTAAATTAAAACGTAGTCTCCAAGATTCTAATGAAAATTAATTAGATATCAAAATGAAATCTTAAAGGAGCAATATGAAAAAGTAAAACCTGATTTTCCTTAAAGGGACAGTGGTGTCAATTACTCATTTTCTCTTTCATTTTACTCCTAAAAGGATCAAATCAAGTAACATACTTCTTTTCTAATAAGTTTCATTCATTTTTTCTCAGTTCCATGCTTCCAACATTCACATAGTGGGATATACTATTTGCTATTTATAAACTGCACTTGATAAGATTTCTAATTAAAAATCAGTAGTTGTGGGTCACCTGCTACAGCTACCATAGTAGACAACAATAGGCAGTTCTCACTTTCACCCAAGGTTCTCAAACTCTTTATGAATGAATCATCAAACACTCTGGAGACTGAAATGGTATTATGGCCATTATACTGATGGGGAAATGGAGGCATAGGGAGGTGAAATGACTTGTTGATGGCAAGTCAATTTCATAGATGGGAACAGAACCCAGATGTCAAGATTCCCTCCTATACACCGCTGAAAAAGCAAGGATTTGTAATTTGGGATTCTGCGATCACAAAATTCCTTATATGAAAACCAGTCTCCCTTGTGCTTTACATCTGACCTTGGGCCTACATGGTGGGATGTTATAAATGGCATCACTTAGCATTCTGGCGGCTGCCAGCAGGTGCCCAACTTGAAATTAAAGGGGGGCTAAATTTTCAGAAAATGGTGAAGACCTGAACTCTGAAAAGTCAACCTTCTTTAGTGCCTAAAGTTGGGCAACAAAAGTGGAGACATCCAAATCACTAGTCAGTCACTTCTGAAAACCTGAGGCCTTTGCCAGCATGGCTGCAGATCAGCTAAGGCAACAGCTTATAAAATTGAATTTCTGAAGCAAATCTTATATTGATTTCAATATGGTTGTGTATTCAGCATACTCTAGAGATCTTTTTAAAGGTTTCCAATTCTTTCTGCAGGCGACAGCATAGATAGCCTCTTTTTAATCAAAAGGGAAGATTAGCTAGCTTGGAAAGGCTATCAGCTAACAAGTTTGAATACCACATTTGGGTCCCCAAAACTCTGGAATTAACAGTGTGTGACAGTGTGAAAGGGGTACAATTAGCAGCCTCTACTGGCTGATAAGGAGTGGCATCAATTAAGCTCCATTCAGATCTCTTCACAGAAATAGAGTCATTGTGAGGTTATGCCTATATGGAGGGAAGAGGACCTAGATGGGGAGAGACAAGATTGTACAAAGGCACAAAGGTATTACCTAGAAGAACTCCCCTTTCTCCAGAATTTCAGTCCTTCATTTTGCTTCACAATTTCCCCACCATGTAGAATAACCCCCATGCTTACAGGATTGTATGGCAACACCTAATACCATAAGGCAGTACTGTAGAACTGTTTAGATACCAACATTAAAATAAATCCCACTGTTTTAAAATGAAGTGATATTCACACTAGCAAAAGAAAAAATTTAAGAACTTTAAAGAGCCAGTGAAGTGAATCTTCTTTGAAACAACATCTACCAGTTCGATTCTAGAATCACCAAAATTAAAGATTACTCGACATTTGCTGCTGTTCAACTTGTACAATCAAATGGAGCTGCCTCTTTGCAATGGCAGTATTCAAATCCCATAAAAACTCAAGCAGCATGCCTTTCAAAAGCATCTCCATAGGGACAAACTGCAAAACCTGCTGGGGAGAGTCTGAGCTGAGCAAAGAGCTCATTAGTTTATTCAGGTGCTGCAGGTACTCAACAACTGGATTTGGAAGACCTCGATAGCCAATACACAATAGAACAGCACTGGTCCCTAGAGGTTCAGAGGATATGGGGCAAGCAAATGTGATGTAGCTGAAACAGCCGTGCAGTACAAAAATCAGGCCAGCTGTGAAGCGTGTAAAACAAGAAAGAACAGGCAGAATCAAAGCATCTCCCAGTTGAAGCTGATTAATCGCACGCAGAAGGCAGTCTAAAAGATGCTGCTGATATTTTGGCTCTCCATCATGAAGCAAAGAACAGCTGAAAGTCAAGAGTGTGGCTGACTCCAGGAGCCTAACTTCCATGTTGGACTGGCTTTTGATGTCACAAAGAGACGGAAAGCCCACCACGAGACACTTGATTTGGTCACTGCATCCTTCATTTGGTACCTTCTGATGGTACTTGGTAAGGCTAGACAACTCAGATAGTATCAGTGCCTCAGTAAGAACATTGCAAGAATGACATGGTTGCTGTGTTCGTCTGGAAAAGGAACTAGTTTTTAGTTTGCCTACTAATGATTCTTTAATGGCTTCATTGAGATTCTTCAAGACATCACCCTCACAGAATGGAGAACATTTTACTCTTGGCAGCCTCTTTCCCTCCAGGATGTACCATAAATTACATTCAAGGTTACAGGATGACCCTTCCAAAATGCAGCTTTTCCCAGCATTACCTAAAGTGTGCTCTTCAGTCCAATGATTAAGATAGCCTTTGGCCACTTTATCTTCCCATGTCAGGGATTCCAGCATCTTTCTTTCGTTGTATGTACTAAAATATTTGTTCCTCTGTCCAAACCATTTTGCATTCATGCTGCAGCCTACACGAGATTTCTTCACTAGCCAGTTATTTCTTGTAATGTGTTTCAGGTGGAATCTTTGCATGAAAAATTCCACTGCACAGTCCCTTAAGTTGTTCAGCTTTATTTGTTCTGCTTCCCCAATGCTCTCAAAGAGCCGGATGTTCTCAGATATAGTCTCTATTTGGTACTTGTGAAAGAATGCACAGCATTCTTCATGCATTTTAAGAAAAGATTCTGGAATCACATGTTGGGGAAAGAGTGCTTTGTTAACCATTTCTGTTCCAAAGTTCTGCATCATCTTGGACAGCACAGGATGGATGGCCTCTCTGCCCATGTAATGAAGACAAACTACATAGACTTCAGAGTTCCCGGCTTTGCTAGTGGCAGGTTTAAAGACATGGACCTCCTCGAAGGAACAATTTAGCAGAAAAAGCAGATTGGCAGAACAATGTTCAAATAAAGTGAACATCTTCAAAACAAAGGAGCCACCATTGCCAAGGATCATTAAAGCAGTGACTGCTTCACAGTAATGTAGAGGTGAGACAAGCGCTTCTTGTTCACCTGGATTTCCTTGGCAATCAAAACTCCCATCAGCAGTTACCAAGTGAACAGTGGTCATATTACTTATGAAGTGCTGAAGTCCAGTTAGATGTTTCAATGTCATCACATCCCCAGTATTATCTGGACCAAAATACCACCATGGCAAGGTATTTGCAATAAGTCGGTCATCCATAATCATCACAAGGGTGTCATTTGCTTCATGATATGGGTTTAGGGTATTGGCTACCCAGTTCCAATCGCAGGGAATGTGATGGGATTTTATGTAGTGATTGAGACTGGCTATAAAAGCACCAGGTGCTTCACAGAGATGGACAGAATTGAGTTCTCCATTCTGAAGAGCTTCTTTCGGGAGAAGGGGGAAACTGCACAAAATCTCATGGAATTTGCACCAAGCCTGGGTACACAACTCAGCATTCACAGACTTCTTCACATGAGTAATGATTATCCCAGCTTTGTTGGTGAAGGAAGTGTGCTGATGCCATACATCCAATTTCTTATCACTTAGTTGGTTTTTGACTTCATTCATGGAGTCCTTCAGAGCAAGGAGTGTATTGAATTCTTTGTGATTGCAGGTAAACACATCACTGGAATCTGGCAGCTTCCAATCACTATTCGGTGGTTTTGTATATGAGAACTTCTTCTCAAAGAGCTCCTCAATTTCAGCAAGAATCACAGGGCTGAATTTTTCAAGATTTGTGGTCTTCTCAACATAAGGCTTCGTATATTTGTTCATTCTTGGACTAACCCACAATCTGGGGAGGGGAAACAAAGAAAAGATAAGGGGGTTAACATGAACTGAACCAATGACACCTTCCCAACCATAAGAAAAAACAGAACAAGTTAAAAAAAAACAAACAGATAAACTTTACAAATGCATTAAGAAAAAGTTAGCTATTTCAACTTGTTTGGTTTTAGCGTTTGTGCTCCAGAATGAGAAGGGAAAAATACTTTACTGAGACATTCTAAGAGTGCAATAAAAAGTTACACAAGTAGTACTGCTTTGGAGTAAGACCTCCATTTTGACGCAATGAATACACATTTAGACAGAAAATAGATTATGCCTTAAATTCCTCAACTGCTAATTAACTAGTAAAAGTTATCCAACTAATATAGAAAGGTAACATTTTGGAGAGATCTGGGTGAATTGGTGTGGAGCATGGGGGGAAAGAGCAGAGGCAAGGCTGGAACAACAGTGGGAAGGAACCAAGCGGCTACAGCATGCGCCACAGAACTTTAAGAGACAGTTCAGACTCTTGGCAGGGTGACAGCTGGGTTCTCAGTTCAGAACCAACATTTTAACTCAAGAAGCATTATTTAAGAAAAATGACCAGCAGTTTGGGAGCCAAGAGATCCCCCTAGTTCTGCATATCATTTCACCCACCACAAAAAAATACAGCAATTTAACAGAAACACTGCAGAACAGTTTAGGAAAAGCAGTGAAAAATACTATATTGCAATTGAAAGGAATAGAGGGGGCAAATTGTAACTATCCAAAACAAGAATTTTGGCCAACGCATCTGGGCTAACACAAAAGATGGAAGCTGGAGACTTCATCCTCATGACATAAAAGCAAGTTTGTTTAATTTCTTAACAAGCTCACTTGTTAACCAGACTTCAGACTTTGATTTCACAAATTGAGTGTGTCCTCTTCTACCAGCACCCACACTCATATCAAGCCTGCACTTTGAAAATGGCGGTAAGTTCTGGTGGCCCCCCCATCTCAAAAAAGATGCATTAGAATTGGAAGTAGTATAGAGAAGGGGGGGGTACAGAACAGCTTCCATATGAGGAAAGATTAAAAAGACAGGTACTGTTCATCTTAGAAAAGATACAACTAAGAGGGGATAAGAGAGAGGTTTACAAAAAAAACGAGACTGGTGTGGAAAAAGTGAATAGGGAACTGTTATTTACCCCTTCACACAACACAAAAATTAGGGGTCACCCAATGAAATTAATAGGGAGCAACTTTAAAACAAAAACGGAAATATTTTTTCCTGGGAAAGAAGTAGCATGGTTTTGCAGCTACGGAACTGGGTTTACTGGAAAGCAAGCAAAAAAGGTTCAGTGTGGACTTATTTTACAGCCCACCACAGACCTCCTGTGACGGTAGGTGGAGGTGTAATTTCCAGTTCAGGTAGACATATTGGTATTAGCTTTGATCAAGTTAGCACACTAAAAGTCACAGCATAGCCACAACTGCACAGGCACCAGGACAGGCTAGTCACACACATACAATCCTGTCTGAAACCCTAGGGACATACTCCAGTTCCAGTGCAGACATACCCAAAGAGACTTAGGGGATGTCTACACTAGAGCTGAGAGAGAGCCTCACAGTCCAGGTAGAAAGAGTCAAGTTAGCAAGTATGCTAAAAATAGCAGCGTGGACATAGCAGCTTTCAAGCCCATCTGACTCCCTAGGCACACACTTGGGTTGCTTCTAAAGCCACAAAATCCACACTGCTATTTTCCCTGTGCTAGCTCAAGCCCCACTAGCACAAGTGTTTCTAACAAGGCTGGGAGTTTTGCTCCTACCCTCTGTGCCTTGGTTTCACCATCTGTAAAATGGGGATAACACTCTCCTACCTTATGGGAATGCTCAGAGAGTATAGTGATAGGGGTCAAAGAAATCACGACAGCATGAAAAACAACAAAGCTAGTGTCTCCCAGTGACCCACGATCAAACACATCACTACTAGTAGGGTAGATATTGGTGAGTCTGATCCTGCCAATACTGAAGCACATGAATATCCCCACCATTCGTGTTAAAACACAGCTCAATGTCACTAGGAAAGTACAATCAGCCAGCCTGCCCTCAGCAACCACACAGGTATGTGAAGGAAAGAAAACAGGCCGAGATGGACTGACCGCATCTCCTTCACACACGTTTAGTTAGATGAACTTGAGCAGCGTTTTTGGGCCGCTGCAGCGCAGGCGGTTTCGGGCCAGGGGCCACGAGACTCTCAGTCTCCTCGCGCGGTAACAGCTCAGCTGGGCCCCAGCCTTCCCCCGGGCGCTACCTCGCAGCGCACCCCTGCTGGGGAGGGGGCAGCCCCGCGAGGGGCTCCGCTCGCTCGGCGCAGGCAGAGGCCCGGGGAGCCGCGCTGGGCCCAGTCGGTCCCGCCCCGCTGGCGCCCTGCGGGGATTCGGGCCCGAGCGCTTCCTCCCCTGGCTCCCGCGGCACGGCCTCGGCGCCGCCCGCCAGCAAAGGGCGCTGCCGCCCGAGCCCCACGCGGCCCTCGGGGAGAGCGAGGCCCCGGCCGCGCGCTCCTTACCCGGGCCGGCGGCTGCGGCCTTGGCAGAGACGCGAGCCCCGCGCCAGGCCGGGAGGCGGGGCCGCCGGGAACGGGGGCGGGGCCTGGAGACTCGGGGCCGTTCGCCTCGGCCGCCGCGTGACTCGCCCCCCGCCCCCCAGGGCTCCCTCAGCCGCCCCCTCCCCCCCACTG